TTTATTCAAAATATTTTACGTTAAACATAAAATTAACTCAATCCAGCCTTTGTGTTCATAAAGCTTTTGGTTGATTGAATTCTTGTTAGGTGTACTAAATTAGAATCCTTCCTTTCTATCAAACTTTTTTTCTATCCTACATTGCTCCACAACATTTCGCTATACGAAACTCAATTTCTGAACTTCTTACTTTTCAATGATAAACTCAAATTACGCTATATAATTTGCACCAACTATGATTCATCCTCTACAATTATTAGCTAACTTCCATCTGGAGATCTCCTAGATTTTAATAAATGTAATTTAATATAGTTGTTATTTATATGATACTGACACCAAAGAATCAATTTCTGATTATATGTATTAGCAATTACTAAAATAGCGAGAACTTAATTTATTTTTTAAGGTATTGAAATCTGGAAATTGCCAATTATGCTAATTTAAGTATTCATAAATAAGTAAAAGTAAAGTTGTTGATATAAAAGTAAAATTATTTTCTTATTTACCTACTGACCTATTCTCTAAATAAAGTGACTTATAAAATTATTGAAAAATTTGAGAATTTTCTTTATTGAAAAATATACTAAGACCACCCAAATAAATTTTGAATATAAAATTATAACATTGGATGATGGATATTTATTTATATCATTTTTATCAAAACTTTCAATTTATTCGGATCTGGTTCCAATTCCCAATTTTCATACCTTGCAGATTATATTCACCAATATAAGTGACTTATTTCCATTCTATAAACCCTTCATCCAATTCCACCCACTTTCCAATTTTTTTCTAGTTTCCATCTTAATCATATTCTCCACCACCACTATAATTATATTTCCTTATACTTCGATAAATATACATTAATTTATATTCCTACTTTGTATTCATAAAATACATACTATCCCACTGACCAATCTTCATACCATTAAAATTATAGACACCAATATAAGTAACTTATTTCCACTCTACAAACCCTTCATCCAAATCCACCCACTTTCCAATTTTTTTCTGGTTTCCATCTTAATCATATTATCCACCACCACTAAATATATATTTCCTTTATTGTTAGATAGCATTTACATTTATTGATATTCCTTCTATTCATTTATAAAATACAAACTATCCCACCTACCAAACTTTATACCTTGCATATTATATTCACCATTATAAGTGACTTATTTATAATCGTTAAACCTTTCATCTACTTCTACCCACTTTCCAATCTTTTTCTAATTTCCTTCTTTATCATATGATCCCCCACCACTATATTTCTTATACTTAAATAATATTTACATATATTTATATTCTTTCTATCCATTTATACAATACAAACTATCCCACTTACCAATCTTCAGACCTTTCTTATTATATTCACCATTATAAGTGACTTATTTATAATCGTTAAACCCTTAATCTAATTCTACCCACTTTCCAATCTTTTTCTAATTTTCTTCTTTATCATATTATTCAAATCTATATATATTCCCTTAATACATATAGAAAATTTACATTTATTTATATTCCTCCTCATCTGTTTTACAAAACATACTATCCCACATACCTACTTTCATAACATTTATATTATTTTATCCATCAAAAGTTACTTTTTAATTCTCTTCAATAAATCCTTCGAAGAACTCTATCTATTTACTTTACTTTTAAATGACATCTTAATAAAATCCACCACCACTAAAAAATTTCTAACAAATTACATTCTTGCATCTTTAAAAATAAAATTCCATTTTCCAATTCTAAAGTCATTCTCATATCCTCCAGTTTCAAAAACTTATGCTGAACTATTCAAATTTTCATTTTTAATAACTTACTTCGAATAATTTTGAATTGGATCTATCCATAATCCTTGCTTTTACCCTTTCCTATAGTATCCACCAGAATTCATTAATATTTTTTAGTTCAACAAAAAAGCAGCCCATCTGCCATTCTTCCTTTTTTTCTTATCATATTAACCAAACCAAGAAAAACTTTTATTTATAAGTATCTCATTGGAAAATTACATTATTTTAAGAAATTAATTATAAATAAACATCATCATAAAAATAACCTTCTTATTTTATTGTTTGATTAAAAATTCATGTTATAAATGATAATAATAACTTATAATATTTATAGATTAAAGTAATAAATCCATTAATCAGAAATCCATAAAAGACTAATATAAAACAATTACTGATGTTTTTCTCCCTAATTTCTTTTACTGCAGATATATATTTGAATTAAGATTTCTTATATAATTTATTTAACCCATAGATTTTTAAAGTTAATTAAATTTCTAATTTTAGAATATTATAAATTGAATATATTTACATTCAATAAATTCAAAGATATATTAAAAAAAATTATCATTTTAATTATTGATTTCAATTATAAGGGAAATCAAGGAGGTACTACTTTGATTAAACAGCAAAAAGCGACAAAATTATAATACTAAGCGAAATTCTTAAATCCAAAAAAAAGTTTCACAAAATTTACTTTAAACTTGCACTTATAATGAATAGAATCAGAATGAGATAATTAGCCTATCATTGACGCATAAATTGATAAACCTAAACATTTGATCAAATCTATTAATTATTATTATTAAATATTTAAGTACATTCATCTAATTGTCCTGGTCTTTCAACATCTAAACATATTAGATGTATTTTTGATATATTAAATTCATTATATAATTTATTTTATTTACATTTACATTGTTCTATTACTCAAGAACAATACATTAGAGTGATTAAGTTGCTCTATTTAAGCATGCTAATTAATTTAAACCTCCACCTCAACTAAATTCATCTGTTGATTCTGGAAATGCACATAGTTTTTTTCTAATTTATAATTATTAATCATCGACTGATACTTATTCACAATATAATATTATTTATAAGTCCTATCTTTATACAGGTGGTATCTTTAATAGTTAAAGGATTTATTTCTTAACAGGTTTAATCTATAAGTCGACAATATATTCCATCAGTGGCAACATTTTATCAACCAAAAATATTACATTAAGTAAAATATTTTTATTAATTATAATTAATTAATATATTAATAATTTATTTTTCACAGAATCTTCAGATTTTATAGGTGATTCGTCTATTATTTAAACGTAATTATTTTTTTTAAATTAACATGCCTCATGTTCTATAGATTAACAAAATATTTTATTAGTCGTCACATCTTTATATTAAGGAAATACACCTTCTTTTTTTAAAAAAAATGATAAGTAAATAAAACAATTTGTATTAATAACACATGCAAGTAACTAAAATCAACTTCACCATAAGAAGTAAGAATATTATGAATTATTAGTAGAATTAAAATGAAAAATATCATCAGTTGTTTTTCCACAAATACTACTATAATTTATATTAATATAACATCTGATAGGCAAGTTTAAGTTACACAATCAAGATTAAAATAGTTATGTAGGTATTTCTAAACATTCATCTTTCCAATATGTCAATTTACTATTATCTTTATAAAGTTAACCGGCTTTAAAAGTAAATGAAATTCTGTTAGCCCATTCTGTTGTTATTTCAATTATTAATTCTTAACATATTTTTTCTTAATCATATTAATAACACTCAATAGATGATTCAGCAATAGCAAAAGCACAAATTAATAAATTTCTTTATTTATTAAATTACCACTGATAGCTAAATTTGAATTAATTTCTATATTTAAACATAATATTTTTTTAATTCTTTTTATCTTTATTAAATACATATTTAAAATCACTATTACAAAAACTTTTTTAACATTTACCATCACAAAATATACATAATGAACCCTGTGTTTTAATGAAATATTCTATTTATTTTAATTTTTCCTTTATCACATATATTTAGTCTGCTAACATTATATTATAAGAATAAATTTAAATATTTAATCTATAAGAAATATCGCAGTTCTGGATACAAAAACATTAGGATTTGCAATTGCGCCTTAATCTGATAATTTTTAATAAGTATTTAATTAATTATTTACAACATAAAATTTTTTAAAGTTTAACATAACGTAATTTTAAATTATTACAAATTCATTAGTCAGATGTTATATTAATAGAAGCCTATTTATTTAATCAAGGAGTAGTATAAGTAAATGTATCTGTGATAATTGGTTCACCCTACATTAATAATTTAAATCTCTAAAAAATAATTTATTTTCACGCAAATATAATTCGTTAAAATATAAGTAAACAGTAAATTTTCATCATTCCTAAATAATTTACTCAAATTAATTCCTATCCAATCATCGCACAAGTTTAAGCTTTATTTTTTAAATAACCTAATAGATTTTGTTTATGGTAAAATTTGAATCCATTAATACTTCTTTACGTTATTTGATTTATTTTTTCAAAAAAAGGCTTGAAGATTAGGTAATCTATAAAGATTTTTATTTTATATTAAATTAAATAAATTAGTTTTGAATTTACCCAACAATCAACAACTTTTGAATAATTAAATTAAATTCCATTATTATTTGCTTTTGTAAAGTGTTAACAAGTATAATTTAAACATTTATGCAATTATTGTTTATCAACAAGTTTAATAAGTTAATTTATCAGATAATGAAGATTTTACATTTAATAAGGTTCTTTTGTTATTTGAATCATAAATCGTATAATGTTCTTTTTCAAGAATATAAACACTTACGCTTTTAATATTTAAATATTAATAAATAAATTAAATTTAAAATATATATTTACTCAAATCTATTGTATTTGTTTATATAAAGCATATGATACTCAGCCGCATGCTTATTCTGCTTTACTAGAGTTTAATAAATTAAATTCAGTAAATAAAAAAAATTATTTGTTTTTATTTCTATTTAATATTTTACTTGTAAGTGTATGATTTATTTTAGTTTATTAAGTAAATAATTATAATGGTATTTTTTGACAAAGAAATAAACTATCAAAATCACATTCATAATAGATACAAAATCAAAAAAAGGTTTACAGCATTTAGCAATTGTATTTACAGATTTCCTATATTCATAACTTAACGAATTTATTTCATAAGCACAAAAATTATCGATCTACTCTATGACAGTAGGTCAAGTACATTTATAGAATGACATCAAAATAGAATTTTTTGTGCATTTAATATTAAATCTTTATAAGTGTTACAATTTGTGGGATAATTATTTGAATAGCCTCTACTATACATAAGAAATTTTTAGATTAACTTATTTTAAACATAATTATCAACATATCTCAATTGGATAATTTTCTATAATTTTAAAATAGATGATTACATCGACCTAAATTGAAAATAAAACAACTTTAAGCATCATTAATCTTTTAACTAAGAACTTTTGAATATCTATAAAAACAACCTTAAACATAAAAACATCAGAATTTTAATCAATTTTACATTTTGGTACATTATCTTATCACACATCTTCAGTTTCAAGATTACCCTCTGAATCTAGAATTGAATTATCTGAATCTGTTTTATCTTAAGTTTTACAATCTTTACCAAAGTTAAAAATACGAAGTTATTGCTTTGTAAAATTTTAATATCTTATATATAAGTATTAGAATTCAAATGGCAATATTTTTCTTTATTATAATTTTATTATCTTTTTTGCCATAACATTATGATTATTCATCTGAATCAGTAATTAAAGTAGTAATTTATAAACATGCTAATTGATTATTATGAAATTCAAATGAGATGTAGTACTTATTGGAACTTCTAATGAATTAAAAATATATGTTGATGAATCACTACTAAAATATTTCAAAATTTTTTTAATATTTTTAATCCTTCGATACCTAAACATTCATATTGATTATTTTTTGGGTATCATAATTTACAATTCCCTTTTTTATAAGACATTATGCTTCTTCTATTATTGATGGAAGCAAATTCTATGGTATGATAAAGATAAAATTGATTTGCAGCTACTTTTAATGCATTAAGTTGTAAATTGTTACCTTCATTAGAATTAGTTTATGAATTCATAATCATAATTTTAACTATTTTTATTTCAAATTCTAATCATGTCTTCCGTACATTTGTTTATTCAATTCTAGTTAGGTATCAGATTCTAATAACTTTTCTGAATAATTCTCTTACTTTTCATCTTTAAAAAATCTTCCTGGTCTTTTAAGTTAGAATGCATATATAATTCTTAATAATTCATTACAAATCTATTTTAAAAAACCATATTTTTATAATCATTTCGTTTCTCTCAGTTTTACCCCAAACAATCATTAAGGTATTAATGAAAATTTTAAGGGAAAAATTCTGACTGCATAAATTTTTCAGCTATTTTTTGACTTCCTTATCAATTTTTGATATCCCGCACCCTCCAGATAATTATTTTGATGTAATTCATTATATTAATTATATTATGTAATATTTATTTTTATTTTACATTATAGTACCAACTTTTTGCTTAAGTTATTTTAGTTTAAATGAATCTTTCGTGTAAAGGGAATTGGTCATGGAAGTTCAAACTGTTTAAATAATTGATAATTGCAGTTTGGCCACTAAATAGAAGTTTACATCTATGAAGGATATTTTTAATCCAAATGCAAGATTTGTATTAGGAAGAGGACTTATTGGAGTAATTGTATTAACTAATGAAATTTGGTTAGGCAAATATTTTATATTTTAAAATGCACGATTTTGTAGCGCAAAAAAAATTTAGAAAGAAAAAAATTAATTAAAAAAATAATTAGATTGATTCCATGCTTTTTTAGTATTAAGGAATATTTATCAAATGTATAAATGATAAAAAGGTTTTCGTAAATAAAACTTTTTAATTTATATAGATCGGATATCTTTGATTATAAATCATATGAGATGGAAATAATTAAAAGCAGAAATTTAGTAAGATAAAAATAATTTTGATTTCATTATTATATCATTTATTAAAATCAATTTCTTGGTTCTCTAAGATAAAATTTTCTTATGAAACTGGAGTAAATCTAGAGGACTTTTGTTTTAAACATTGAAAATTTAATGTACTTTCTTGAACAGATTTTAGAAAACATTGTTATCTTTCTTTAGCTGAATTTGAACTTCCAATACCCAAAGTGTAAAAATCAATATTTTGTTCTGTTTATCTTTCTATGGCAATTTAACTTTAAGTATTTTTCAAAGCAATGATCTCTCTAGCTTAAGGAATTACAAATTTTTTTAATTTTTGATATAATTTAGCAACTCTTTCACGTTATGCACGACGATTTGTTAATAATCTTTTCATACAAGAAATTTGATTTAGAAAAGGGAAATTTTTTCTGATTGAATTACGAAATATATCAAACTTTTCATCAAAAATACTGGTTTTTTCTTTCAAGTATTCAATTAAAATCTTTGATATTAAAGTGTATAGAACATTAAGATTCAAAATAGATATTATTATAATATAAGGAATTTATATTTCTTATGAATCTGATTATTCTGATACATGAATACCAATAGCTAAAGCAATTGAAGCTAAGCACACATTTGTAGAATAATAATCTAATTTATTAAGATTATTTAGATTATATGGTTTATATTTTAAACTTAATTCCAAATACATTCCAATAATAAGTGATATAATTGTAGCTTTAAGAATAAGTTTATCATCATAATACGTTAAGAAAATAATCATTAATTCTTTTTAAGCTATTTTGATGACTTCCCAAAAGTAAGCAGTTTTAGTGTATTCATTATAAAGGTAACCCCATTAAAGTCTAACTTTTTTATTATCTAATTTATTAGAATTAGTGTAAAGACCATAATAAAAATAAAGTGGAATTATAATAGCTAGTAGTAATAACATAGGTAAACATAACTCAATCATCCATTTTTCATGATAAGTAGTATCAAATCTATAAGAAACATTAGATTGGATCCATTTATAACCTGAAATCTCTCTATATGATACAAGTTAAACAAATCCTCCAATTAAACTTGGTTGTAAATAGATGTACATATAAATGAGTGTTGTACTAATAACACTTCTATTAAAAGTAATTTTCTTACATTTAACAGCCAGTAAATAACAAAAGAAAAAGAATGTAATATAAAGAAAAGGCATAATAACCTACCAAACCATTCTAGCATATTAAATCTAAAATTAAAAAATATGAGATAGAAAACAATCCAATGAATAAGTCAAAGTCTAGATTGGGGATCCAACTACATTTATTGTACTTTTAAGTCCACTAGGTAGTTTTAATTAAAATGTAGATATTGATGAAATTATTTACAAGTAATTAGTTAGCATCTTTATCAATATAGCTGATTGATTATAATTTTATGTTACTGCTAAGCCTAACATCATAATATTAATAATTCTCACTTATTCTTTTATAGCTTTCATTGTACTTTGAACTGAAATCAATATTGATATTAAAGTCCTTAAATATTAATAATAAACTTTACCAAATACTCACAAAAGTTATAATTAATGAATTTTTTTCCTTTTCTAAACATGATCCACAAGAATATTTTTAACTTACAGAATAATATCCATCTCCTCTTATATTATATAAATCACATTATTCACATAATGCTCCTATATGTCCTAAAAAACAAGAATTATCACCTTCCTCCCATCCACCTAAACAATTTTCCGGTTAATTCAAACAATAACTAACTATATTACTTTAAAAATATGGCCTCCAATATCCAAATTTTAAATTTAATAATGCTGGTTAAACATTAATTGTTGAGATATCATCTTTTAATTCACATTTTTGAGAATTTAAATTTAAAGAAAACAGACCTTAATCACTATTACAAGGAATACATGAATAATCAGTATTATTTTTAATCTCTCCATATTAACAACTTAAAGTCTTTATATTAATTCTTAATTTATAATTAGAGTGTGTACGTATCAAATTATATGGGTATTATTAATTGTAAATTGGAATAAATATTGAATTACATCTAAACTGTAATTATAATACAATTTCAGAAGGCAAAGCATTATCAAAATTTACAATCAAATCATCCAAATTATAGTCTTAAGTTTAGTTATTAAATCTGATATTCTTTATATTAGTAAGATTATTACTAAACATATTATCATCATTTAAATTAGAAATATTTAAAATTCTACTATCAATATCACAAATTGAATTTAATACATTTTTCATCACACTATTATCCTGACTCAAAGCAATCACTCTAAACTTTTAATTGAAAGGAGAATATGTTTTATTTATTTTATTAAATTATTCATATAGTGAAATTTATTGACCACTTGGCAATAAAATATATTATTGTTTGCTTAATTTACCAGATGGAACAATTACTTATTAAACTAATAGTTCTTATGTTTCTTAAATAGTTTCAGTTTCAAAATAAGTACTTTCATCATTCAAAGTAATTGTTAATTTTTAAGGTAATGAAGCCCTATCATTTCCAAAAAATTCAGCTTTGTTATTATGTATACGAGTTCCAAGTTTTAAATAATCCATATCTTATTGATCAATTAGATTAATTCCTCCTCCTGTTTAGGCTGAATTGTGCTATATTAAACTATTAACAATTAACACATCTTGTTTCATCTTGACAACCATAGCTCCTCCTTTTCCGGTTGCATTATTAAATTAAAAAAATGAATTTTCAATCAATATTTTAACATTTTCAACAAATAAACAAGTTCCATTTTGAGCTTTATTATATTAACAAACATAATTATCTATAAAGAATTCCAATTTTAAAGATTATAAATATTTATCTTCATTAACAAGAGCTCTACGATTATTATGAGAATTCTCTTTTTTAATATAAAAGCACCCATAAACTCCACACGAAGAATTAGTAATTTTGAGTTTAGAGATGTATTATTTCATTATAAGATCGTCAATCTTCAAAAAGGAATAAAATAATAAGACATTCTAGCAGACATTACAATTAATTTATGAAAATACTAGATTATTTAACTTTATTTAACTTGATTTTGTAAGGTCTAAAAATGATATTAATCCTGATCCAGTTTCTTCAATCATTAAATTATTTTCTTATCCATTCTATTATTTGATTGAGGATAATAAGCATTCTCCATAATTAAACTTGTTTTTAATGTATTATGAAAACAAATTTTGAGGTGCCTATTTATTTTTGGCATTTTGAATACATTTAAAATAGACTGTGTATTCTTTATCATCTTATTACATACAATTATAATACTTTAACTATAATTCCAAAGTAATGTTAGATATTACAAGACCGCTGATCTGGATAGTATTAGGTAAATCTAATTAAATAATATATTTTACATTAGTTTGGATGCAAACTTAAAATATCATTAATTATTAGACTATTTGATATTTTAAAATTTTGAATTGAAACAATTTAAGCTTTATTTGTTTATAATACAGATTCTAAAATTAAATTATGAATCTCTGTGTTAAAAATGATTATATTTCTAACTGAATCAATATAAAATAAGGCTCTTTTATTCATAATTGCTATTTCTTCTGTTTTAGAAAGTTAAGTATATTTATTTAAGTAACTTTTAAAACCCTCATTTGTATTTTCAATAATAAATTAATTAAGATTAATACACTGCTAATTCGAAGAAATAGAAGTGAAGGTAAAATATACGATTGATCCAAGCTTAGCATAAACGTTTCGAATTTTAAAATACTAAAATGACACATTAACTCTAGCAGAATCTGATAGTATGTAAATAAAACCTCCTTGTTCTTAAGCTGCAATATTTTCTATAAATATTTATTGAAAAGTAACTTCCAGAGATTATGCTGAAGTACTATCTAAATGTATTGCTCCTCCAAATCCTAACTCTTAAGAAAAGGTAGTTGAGATATTTTTAAATTAACTTTATGAAATAGTTATAAGACTATTTTTTTATGCCTTAATTTACAATGCTCCACCAGAAAATCCCACTGATTACTCAAAATTGCAGTATTAAATTTCAAGATTTTCAATTAATAATTAAGCAACTCCTGAGGTAGATTTAACTTTGAAAATTTAATTCAGTTATTCAATAGATACTTTTTCTGATTCAAAAAATCCCCATAATAAATATGGTTAAATTAATTAATAGTCAAAATAACTATTCTAACGAAAAGTACAATTTTATAATACCAATTTCTGACTTTTAATATAGATTAAATTATCAGTGCTATTGTAAACTGTATTTTTAAGGAAATTAGAATTGATTATTGTGATGACACCCAAAATTGAATTTAAATTTAAGAGTAATGAAGAAATTTAAAGATTATTTTAAACATATTCATGCAAAGTATTTCCAGAAAAAGTAATATTGTATAAATCTATGTTGGTTTGTTAAACTGAATCTATAAAGATTATGGCAGTTTAATAGTTTGAATTAGATAATAATAATAGATTTGATTCAACTATTATATTTGACATCAAAATTGTTTCAAGTTATTATTACTTTCCTTTGTCAAAAGATTTATAGTAAAGAATGGGTGAATTATATGATTAGGTATATGTAATTTACATATCTACTATTTCAAAATTAAGAACTGAAGTTATAAAAAGAGATTGCAAATAATATTCACCGTTAACTTATTGTAATTAGCAGTCTAGATATTAGTGAAGTCCTAAAAATTTATATTCATCTCCTTAAGTGATCTTACTAGAGTCTATTTTTAACTCTTTTGCTTCAACTATACTGAAATCAATCAATCCAACTCCTCTGATTATATTAAGTTCTGAAATTAGAATATAATCTATAGATATATAGATAACACAAGAACTTTAAGTATTTAATTTAAAATCTGGAGTGATTGACGAAACATAATTTTTAGAGATTAAAATATTTTTAATCATTATTTTTGAATAAACATTATCGTATTTATCAAATGAGAGTAATTTTGTTGTTTAATGATATTCATTCTCCTGTAATATTAAATTGAATAATTCTATTTATAAGTATTCCAATTAGAGTGAATCAGAATTTACTATTCCATAGCTTCTTTCACTAAATTTACAATCCTTAATAATCAAGTCATGAATCTGATTATTATTATTCAAAATAATAAGAGTTGAAATCTGAATAAAGGAATTATGAAACTTTATTCCAGAAATCTTTACTTTTTTAAAAAGTTAAAAATTTAAAAAGTTTAAACAATTTAGTACATCTACTTAAAATTCAATCTTGCTCAAAACAAGAGATCCAAATTATTTAGTCATTTTTGTATCTATTAAAGATGAATTTACAAAATGTGCTTGAATGAACCCATCTGTAATTGAAATCATATCATTTTTATTAAGATTAAAAAAGAGAGTTACTTAATTTTAGAGTATAGAATTAATAATTTAAAAAGAGGATAGTGTTATTTATTTATCATAAGTAGTATTGGCAATGTAAATAAATGTATTTATGGTATTTTAAATAAGATCTATAATTTTGAAATCAATTAAATCCAGTTTCTTAATATCATTAAATATCAATCTAGATTAATCATTTACAAAATTGAGTTGCTAATATTAAATAGATTTCAAAATAATTATTTATGGTATTTTACTCAAAAATATTATTTATTTTAATTTGTTATTACTTAATGGATTAAATGTAGCACCTTGGATTGTAATTTTATTGAAATTTTAGAAAGTGATAGTTCTCTCAAACTCAATAACAGTATGTTAGTTAAATTCAATATTTAGTTCAACATTTCTATTATAATTTTAAAATTTACATTGTAGAAAATATATTTTGACTAAAAACTGATTATATAGTAGCATTTCCATAAATTTTACAAGTTTAAGGTTTAGCACTAAGAATATTAATAATAATAGTTTTGATAAGCTTTGAATTGGCTGATAAATAAAAATTATTGGTTTCAAACTAGGTTAATTAATAAAAATTACCTCTTTAAAGCTATTGCCAGAAGTTAGATCTTCTAAAAGGATATTTTTTAATTTAAATTAATTTTATTAGTAAGTTGATTATAAATCATTTAAAGCTTAGGTAAATTCTTGTTTTGAGCAATATAAATTGATAGGGATAATAAATTATTTCTCACAAGTATCTATATTGGAACATGCAATAAACGTTCCTAATTCTTAATCATAATAGTAATCTTGATCATCAAAACATTTTAAACATTGATATGTAGAAGTGAGATATTAATAGTTACTAAAGAGTGGATTAATAGATGAGATCTCATCATCTGATCTGATTCTACATAAGGCACAATTTTATGGGCAAGTGATACATTGATTTTCTGATAAGCTAAGTTTTCTGCCTTATTGCTCTAGTTCACATCTAATACATTAATTCTCACCATTAATAAATTAACACTCTAAACACGATTCTGGACATGCTTTAATACATTTTTATTAAACTAATTCATATCCTTTGATGCACATTGTACATATGACTTCACAATCCTCTTTATTTTCACTTTAGGCATAGAGTTTAAATGGATGATTATTATCAAAATTAATTACAATTTAATATAAAGCTCTGATATTAATTTTCCAATAGTCTTGTGAAATTTTTTACTGTTGTGCACAATTATAGCAATTTAATTCAGAAGGACATAAATAGCATTTACCTGAAATTCTATCTGCATAATACCCACTTTTACATTCTAGACAGATATAAACAGTATTTATCCAATGAGTCTTCTCTATTAAACAAGTTGCACAATTTTCAATGTATATGAGACATTGTTTATTGAATTAGATAATTTAAGATGTTTCTGTTTGATAATAATCAGTTCCAATTAAACAATATTATATTGATGTACAGATATAGTTCCAATCATCATCAAAAGCATAAGTAATCTTTTCACCAGTAGGAGTTGTATAATAATCGACGTAATACAATATATCTAAGATAGTATCATCGATGACTGTGTCACAAATCTACTAAACATATGAGAAATAGCAATTAACATCGATCATTCTAAGACAAATTTGAGAATTTAGTATTACTCCATAACCATATTCACATCTACCACAAGTTGTATGAATATTATCCCAATCATCTCTTGGGATAAAATATAAGTCAAGTGTATTAATTTAGTAATCGTTTTATACTGCCTAAAAAGCATAATCACAATGTTTGATGGTATTTTAGAAACAATTTATGCCATCAAAAGATAAAAAGTATTTTGAATCATCTAAACATTTGAAGCATTTTAAATAAGATTTATTTATATTTTTATCATTGTATTTTTAACAAATACTACAAAAATTTCCACAAGGAAAACAACTTCCATCATCTAATGCATAATAATTGATACAAGACAAACATTATAGATTATTTTTATCATTATCATAAATACAAGTATTACAAGTTCTAGGGCATTAATAATATTAGCCATTATGAAGATACGCACCATCTCTAACTTTTTTACAATTTCCATCTGAGGATGCCAATAGACAATTTATGTTTGTAAATATACAATCTCCATTAAATTAATAATAGTTAGGTTTGCATTTTACAAATATAGTTTATCCAAAATGTCGATATTTTGCTTGAAAGCAATTAATTGAATCTAAATCAGGATCACAATAGTCTTAGTAGCCTGAATGAAGAAATAAATGTCCATTTTAATCAATCAAATAAAAGTCATAATCGTAAATATCTCTTTTTTCATATTTATAAGCATCAGTCTATGTCAATTTCTTAGATACTAAGTCGAATTTACAGATTGGCTTTAAATACCAACTCAACGGATAGTAAATACAATCAACACATAATATATCTAAGAAATTAGATTATGGACTTAATAATAATAAATTTTTGTTAATACCATTTTATGCAAACACTTTACTCCTTTTCATTTTAAAAAATGAAATATCCAAATTTACACTAATAATCTGCAAGAATATATAATTCTTATATCTAAACAGATGAAAAGTGATATTCAAATTATTGACAGAGTTTTTCATTTTATACTTCCATATATCCTTATAGACATTAACATTTCTTTTGTTCATTTAAATAGTATCTATTTATATTTTATTCACAATTTATACAATTATTTTCAAGTGGCCCATCACAAGTTAAACAAGTCTAATGACATGCTAAAAATATATATCTTTAGATTACCATTAAAAAGTAGTTCTTTTTCATCAACATAATTAAATTCTAATTTAAAATCAAAAAGTGATGCTTTAAGTAATTCATTAACGTACTCATCAGATCCTAAATATACATAAAAAGGAGAATTGGTTGGCTAAATAATATCACGACATTTCTCCAGTAAATTTAAATTATTAAAGAATTTAATTTAAATGCAACTTTTTTTTCCAGGTATTGAAGAGCCATACTCATATTTCAAAAAATGCCATTACTGTAGTCCTTAAAAATAATTTTCAGAATTAACATCATAAATAATATCCTAAATGACTTGAATTGGATCATTAGAATGCCAACCAATATTCCCCATGATTGGAATTTTATGATGATCAAGATTAATAGAAATTGTAGTAAATTTAGGTTTACGTTTATTAAACATAATTTGCATTAAAAATATTTCATCACCAATTCTTGATTTATCAAAATAATTTTTAAAAAGACTTATTCTAATCAATGGATAAACTGAAACTTAAATAACTCTTGAGATATCATATTTAACCCATCCAGAAAGACAAAACTTACTTCCAAATTAATTTATTGTATATTAAAGAGATGTATCACCTTCAAAAATTTGTAATCCTTTGACTAAATAGCTTGTTTATTCATCTTTCATTAGAGGAGGAATCTAACAATTTATAGTCATATATTCAAATAAATCTTAACCTAGATGATCAAACTTATTCACAAATATTTTCGACAATCTTCCTTTAAATACACCGAGATTAAAATTTTCTATCTTTTTGGAAATAAATATAAATATACATAGCCTCTTCCTCCTTATATTATTTAAACATAATCTTATTCAAAATTCATTGTTCCACTCTTTCTTATTTAATCTGTCATATCAACTACGATCTTTCCTTCTAAGAAATTAAAGGTTATATAGCTCAGAATCCATTTAGATTGATAATTTATTGGTTTAAAATCAAACTCTAAACTTATCTATTTACTTCCTAAAATAATTATTTTATGTCTAACTAACATCGTTTATTAATCTATATAAACAAATCCTAACAATGAATTGCTTGTGCGTCCCTTCACTAAAAATTATAATTGTCCTAATTCAGCATCTGTTGAAATAAAATCTTATTCCACTTAAGTAATACTCTTCAAACTTAATTGTGGAATACAAAGACTCCAAAAACCAAAACTAAATGATTCCCCAACATCCAAAGTAACAAAAGAATCAAATTGATTACTTTCAAATTGAGATTCAAGAGGTATTAATGCCTATTCATATTCATTATAAGGACAACTCTAATTAGACACAAACCTTAAAACTATGACCATAATTAGAATCATTTAAAAAAGTTTATCACAGGTAAACATTTTTATCATGAGAATTTGATTTTTAAATATTATCAAGATTTACTAATACCAAATGTATAGTTTTTATTATAGCATATTAAATTAGAATAGGCATAAATAAAATTTTAAGTAAATGTCATTCGAAGATATTAATTAGACGCTTTTACATAAAAAAGCCTTTAAAACATAGAAGAAAGTTAAATTGGACAATTCATTCACTGAATTTATCAATCCTCTCTCCTTCTATCTTGAATATCTTCTGGATTGAGTAAGAGATCAACTAGATCAACAAATTCATTGATTGAACTCTAAAAACATTTTTTTGATACATCAGATGATGTACCCTTCGAATCAAATAATCTAATAGCACTAAAATAGAAAATTAAGAGCAAATAGCTAATTTAATATAAGTTGAAGAGACTCTCGATAATTCTTCAAATATATAAATTGATGCATTTGCTTAACCAAAAATTAATCCAATCTCTAATATTTAGAAAAATAACTTGATTTAACAATTTTTACTCTTCTCTTCAAATATTCTTTTCATTTTATTCTTTCACAATAAATATTTTCTTTTCTAATCATCTTTGACAAATCTAAAATAACGATAATAAGAATATAAGAGAATAAAATAATTAATTAATTAATTAATTATTCAAATAACTTTATTATAGTTTTATAATTTGAAATGGAATTTTACTATATTTAAACATAATTCAGTAAATTATAATTTGTGGTAGAAAATAATGACTCCCAAAACAAAGGCAATAAAAGTAATAAGCTGAAAAGTTTGTTTTTTAGAGCTTCTTAATTTTTTTATTTAGAGTCTTATTGAGAGCTGATAATTTTCCAGAATTTATTGTAATAAATATTTTAAAAAATTAAATTTTTTTTACAAAGAGAAAATTTTAGACTAAAATGTTTCATCTACACAACTTGATGAAATTCTTAAGCTGCATTAACTCAATGAAAACTTAAAAAGAAAATTGTCCATTTGTGCCCCAGTATTCAATCTCATTTAACAGGTCTATATGACAACTCTCACTCTCAATTAATTTTAGGAAACAAAATTAATAGAAATTGAAATTATGTTTTTCTAATAATCAATTTTATATTGTGTTTTTTCTGGCTATCATTTTTAATTTGTTAGTATTAACTCAAAAGATAAATTATTAATACTACTTTTTGATGATATGCCATTATTTTATTGGTTTTTAGTATTGGTGAAAAAGATAATTAAAATGTTAAACTAATTTCTATGTATTATTACATATATAAATTTTATGTATAATAGTATTATATTTAGTTAAATGATAAATAGTTCCTTTTGGTTAATTTTATAATTACTAATTAAATATTAATAATATGATAATTGTTCATTTATTTTATAATGATCTAAATTATAAGAAATTTATGATTATAATTAATTTGATTTTTTTATTTATTGCTTAATGAAGAGCTCAGATAATTTAAGCAATCCATATTATATAATCGGGATTATGAAACTATTGAAATTTACTCCAGTTAAAGAATTACAGAAAACATTTT